CCCCCCCCCCCCCCCCCCCCCCCCTCTTGTCTGTTATGGTGGCTCAGAAAAATTTGGGTTAATCTCCCATTAATGATATTTGCACCCTTTGCACATGGGGGGCAGAGGGGTGGGGGGGATGTGTGAGAAGACCGAAGGAGCAAGTTGCAGACACAATTTCATTTCACTGTATTTGTTCTGCCACTGAAGTTAGCCCCTGAAAATGTGGGGCTGTGGAAGAAATTCTGAGCAATCGTGAGCATTCATAACCCAAGCCCAGGGCTAGTCCAGTGCTGGGTATCATGCTTTTCAAGCTTTTATTACAGATTCCACAAAGTGTTTAATAAAGCTCTGGCCTCTCTCTTTCTCTCAGCTCTCCAAAATGACCATTTCAGCCGGCATCAGGCATTGCTCACAGTCAGGTTCATTAGCCCTTTTAATGGAGCTGCACCCAACGTTACAAAGAACTGAAAGGAAGGTCTGAAAGACTCCACTGATTCAGAGGGGGCAATGCCAGAATAGCACTTGGCACTCCTACTGCTACAGGAGGGTGCCCTAAAAAGTGAGGCACGGCACCCCTTGGCACTGAAGTCTAAGCTGCTAGACCTCTGGTGGGTCCCTCATGCCAAGAGACATCACTTGTTTGAGGCCCAACATTAGCTTGGTTTCCTGTAGATCTCAAGTCCTTTCACTTTTATGGTTGGAAGCGAGTGATATAGTAATGAAAATGGTTCAGGGGCTGGGGCACATGGCTTATGAAGAGAGGCTGAGGGATCTGGGTTTGTTTAGTCTGCAGAAGAGAAGACTAAGGGGGGATTTAATAGCAGTCTTTAACTACCTGACAGGTGGGTTCAAAGAGGATGGAGCTGGACTGTTGTCAGTGGTGGCAGATGACAGAACAAGGAACAGTGGTCTCAAGTTGCAGCAAGGGAGATTTAAGTTGGATATTAGGAAAAACTTTCTCAATAGGAGGGTGGTGAAGCACTGGAATGGGTTACCCTGAGAGGTGGTGGCAACTCCATCCTTCGAGGTTTTTAAGGCCCATCTTGACAAAGCCCTCACTGGAGTGATCTAGTTGGGGATGGTCCTATTCTGAGCAGGGGGTTGGACTACATGTGACCTCCTGAGGTCCCTTCCAACCCTCATTTTCTATGATTTGATGCTACCAAGAATAAAGGGCTGCAATGCAGATGTTAGAGAGACACGTGTTTGCCACTGGAAGAAAAGTGGTTATGCTACTTGTGTTCAGTGTGGATAACTTGTGCACAGTCTCTTAGTTTGTCTCTGCCACTTGTGTCCCTCAGCTGGGCATTGGCAGGCAAAAAGGAGGTGCGCTCTGATCAACCTGCAGTGGTTAGAGGCTAAAGCAGTCTGGATTGGACTTGTAGCCCACCAGATATACAAGCTTCACAGCAGAATGTGTGGGCAGGACTGGGCTTGCAAAAACAAGTGCACTGTCTCAGCATGGTATTTCTGCCCCACCAAGGTTCATGAACCCCGTCGGACACCACTACCACTTCGCATTCATTTCCACAATGACCTAGAACAGCCCTTCAGTAGTTGCAGAAGTGGCGCTTAGCAACACAAAGAAAGAGAATTAAATGCAAGTACAAGCCCTTTAGGATTTCCAAACTGCCCAAGCCCAGTCTTGTTTTGTGCCACAGCAGTGTTGCCCAGTGTTTAGCCCACGGCTTTCTAAACCATTTCAGTGGCAACGGGCACCTGTATCACCCCTCCTAGTACAACTCCCACAAGAATGCATTATGAGAGCGACTTGTACAGAAGTAGCAAGACTTTCTGACCTCAGACAAGTCCTACAACTACACAGTCAACTTTGCCATGCAACTGCAAGGCATATTGCCCAAAGACACCGAAAGCACCCCAGTCTGCCATGGGTAAAAAAGGTGGATGAGAATTGTTAGTGTCTGACTGCGACAAGGGTTGTTAAAAGGCACTTGAGAGGTGCGAGGGAGAGGGCCATGCCTCCCATTACAAAAAAGGCTTCTGCCTAACTCATTTGTATGTGTGTCGACATGATTTCACTGACGCACCAGGAGGTTCAAATGACTCTTTGCCAGGTAAATTTCCCTAATGTCGACAATCCTGGTTTCTTGAAATGCAGCCCACATGCCTCTCTGCAGCCGGGGCTAGCATGGGAGTCCTGGCAGCCAGACAGCACAGCCCGACCTATACATTTTACACAATTATTCACTACATTTCCAAGCACTGAGGCTGGATCCTTGTCCTCCATGAATGTGCCTCATGGACTCCAGATTTGCCTCAGGCTGTGTGAGAGGAGATCCAAACTCATCCCCACAAGAGAAAAACAGAGTCCGGGAAAACCAGACAAGCCAGGAATGCAAGTTTACACCACAAGGAACCATCCCTGCCCTGGTATAGAAAAACCCACAGGCATAAGCCATCGCTTTCCCAGATAAAACAGAACAAGGCTTTCCAGGAAAACCCAAGAAGGATGCACAATAGTTTTTGCCAGGACGTCATTTGCATTCATTTCCTGTGCTGACTCACCCGTGATGCATGCCTGCCTGGTTTCCTAGCATCCAGCCAGGAGTCTGTACAGCGTCCCAGCCCACAACCTCTCTGGTGACCACTTTGCAGACAGGAGTCTCCAGGGGCTCTCAGACAAAGCCAAACACCCAACAATCAGATCACCCGATTTCCTCGTGGAGGGAGCCGTGATGGGGGCCTGGACCCTGCTGCCCTTGAGGTCGACGAGGAAAGGGCAAACGGGCCAGAATCGACTCTGAACAAGAGGTGGAAGAAACAGCAGCAGAACAAACCCACTCTGTGGGCCAAGGGCAGCCCAAGGACTTGCGGATGACTGAATGCAGATGGCAGGCACTACGAGGCCTATTTGAGCAGTGTGCTGTGTTGGCTTTGTGAGCAGGAATAAAGAATAAAGGTGCTGCTGCTCTTATGCCTCCCTGAGCAAGAGTGGCAGCAAGTCTCGCTTTACGCCCCAGACACACGAATGGCAGAGCAATAGTGCTGGTTTGTCACCACACCTCCAGCCTTCTGCCTGGCTCAGCTGCTGTCATGAGACAGCCTGCATGTGCCGAGGCCTGTCTCCTCTCTTTAGAGAGCAGCAGGTCCCTTTAATGCCTTGCGTGGTTGCAAAGGGTTCCTGGGCACAGTTTGAGCCACCCTGACTGAATAATCATGTGGAAGAGGTGAATCCAGGAGGAAGAAGGGAAGCCTAGTGAAAAAGGGAAATGTGGGAGTGTTGTGCCATGCCCACTGGCTCCTGAGGAGGGGGTGGGAGCAGATGGCCCATGGAAACAAGGAGCCTTTTGAAGGAGTGAGCCCATTTTACAGCTCTCTATGAAGCAAAGCTGGGCTTAGTCTTCAGCAGTGGCTGAACAGAAGCCCTGCTCCCAGTCACCATCCTGCCATGTGCCAAGAGATGAAGGAAATGGAGCTCCCGTACAGAAATCTAGGCAGACAGTCAGTGTCCATCATCTGCTATGTTGCTGCAACTCCCAAGTGTCCAGCCAGATTGTCTTAGGGGCCTAGTTCAAGCTCAATCTGTGCAG